CAGCAGAATATGCCAGCTCATCATTGGGGCAGCAGCAGCAGCGCGTCTCAGCATGGACTTCAATTTGCCGCTCGGCAGGCGCAAAACTGAAGCAACTTTTAATCCACTGACAGCGCCACGCCATCGAAAATTACACATAAGCGAACGGCCAAAAATAGGCAGCAAGCGGGACGTGGGAAATAGTTTTAATATTGTTTAAATTATTTATTTTTCCCCCACTTTCAAGTTTTGTTTCATAATGGTTAGCAATAGAAATGTTGTTGTTGTATATATTTGTTTGTTGCTGCTGTTTTTTTGGCCCCAAAAAACTGGCAGGCCCTTGCCGCAACTTTCTTGCAGCCCAGCTGGTCGCATATCCTGTCACAGCACACCCCCGTAGCCCTCCGCAGCCCCCTGTAGCTACTACTGTAGCTCACTAAGCTATGCTCCCCCCCGTGCCAGTCCATTCCATTCGCCTTGAAAGGCCTTTCACGCTTTTGGCACAGGGCTTCGTAGAGGGGTTGCAAAAGTCGTAAAGAAAAATGATGTTTTAAGTAAAATTTATATCGGGGTCATTAAGTAAACTTGGCACAAAAGTTGTTGCCGCTTGTTGCCTCTTTCTTTTTTGGGCCGAAGAAATGAAAGAGCTAAGGGGGTGGCACGGGGTGGGCCGGGGGCCTGAGGCACGGCGTAAGGTGGTTGATCAACAATGTCGCCAGTTTCCATGGCACACTTTGTGTCAGCAACAGCAGCAAACAGTTTTTAGTTTCAGCTTGCAGCTGCAATTTTTGGCTGCTTTTCCAGTTCACTTTCTGTGTGTATTTTATTTGTATTTGTAATGGCGTAATGGACACTACGCTCTGCTGCTGATGTTTTTCTTCCATTCCCAAACGCGTTGAGAGTGCGCAACAGAATGCCACATGCCACATGCCACATGGCACACGCACACGCACACAGCAAAGTGCCTGCCACATTGTTGCACTCGTTGTATCTGGGGGGGAAATTGACATTCCATTCCGTGGGATGCAGTTGCAGTTTCAAATGGATTTTCTTTTTAGTCTGAGTGAATTTGAATACATTCCACATGCGAGTCGATCGCAGATTGATTATTCATTTTGCTTGCTCCTGCCAGCTCCTGCCAGCAGCTCCTTCGCTCAGTCATTTATTCATTTGCACAAGTCCGAGTCCAAGTATTTGGCGCCGCTGCTTATTCAGTCATACCAAGGACCACCCTCGTCCGCTGTCCGCAAAAACAAAAACAAAAACAAAAACAACAATGTAGAAACACTCAAACACTCATAAAGTGTCCTCGGCATCCTGTCAGCAGCAGCGCAACAAAAAACACAAAGCAAAAGAAACAAAAACAAAATAAAACACAAAAAGAAAAGGGACAAAAGCAAGACAGGAACAAAAGCCAGCAAGACAATAATCCTGCGAGAGAAATTGTGAGAGACAGGACAGGACAGGGACAGGGACAGGAACAGCTACAGGACAGCGCCCAAGAGCAAGAGCAAGTGCAATTGCAAGTGCAAGTTGCCACTTGCAACATGAATCGCCTGTCCAGTGCAACACACAATTCGCGAAGTTGCAGCAAAGTGCTTTTGCAGCAAGTGTTTCGGCTGACTGGCTGTCTGTGTGGCAAGGCACTTAAAGCAACATGAAAGCAACACGAAATTCAATTGAATTTTAAGCAGAGAACGTCCTTCCACGTCTGTCTACATATTGTATCCATGGAGGAGAGTGCTTCTGGTTCTGCTCTTGCTTTGAGGATTTGCGGTTCAACAGGAGAGTGCCGAGGTGCAGGAGAGGTGTGGCAAATGCCACTCAACTTTGAGCTATCACCTCACAAGCGCATAAAACACACACACACACACACATCTACTCGTTACTTGTACGACCTACGAGTACGAGTATCTTATAGATACATACACTCTACTGTGGCTGCTCCACCCCAGCACCCCCACAAGGCGGCTTATTATACCCCACTAATCGTGCAGTGCACAAGTTGAAGGGGCATATTCATTCAGATCCCCGTTCAAAGGCATCACTAGAGACAACTCGCTACTCGCTACTCGCTACATAACTGAGACTCGCTCAGTACGGATCAGAACAGCGAGCTGATGAGAGTAGCGAGTGCAATGTCAGCCCTTGAATTATGTACATACATCGAAGAAAAGGAAAGTATTTCATATAATTTGTGCATTATTTTGTTCTAAAATTCTCTATTATTGCGAGGCATCGCTCAGTCGTAAGTCCAAGCCACACAACGTTCCCCTTTTGTTGTTGCTGCATACATGTGTACTTGCCGGCGAGCCAAAACACAATTACAGCAGGCGGAAGAAGGCGAAAGAGTGAGTGCAGGAGAGCACTGTGAATAAGTGGTACTTCTCACATTTAAGCTGTGACGTGCCGGGTTACCGCTTTAAGGCAGCAGCCAGCAGTCGCCACATGCCACAACAGTCTCCGAGTCTCCGAGTCTCTGCCAGCCCGGATTTAGGCAAAAGTCGAAGCAGCTGAAGGAAGAAGGAGCAAAAGGAGAGGCTACAGGCTGAAGAAGAGGAAGATATTCATTGTGTGTTTGTGTGTGTGTGTGGAATGGAGAACGGAAGTGTGCCCGACGGCAGCTCTTCCATGCGCCTAATTACATGTGCAAATAAATGAACGACGCATGCTGATTGTTTGAGTGTGTTGGTATGTTTGTGTGTATGCATTTGTGTGTGTGTATTGTCATTGTTGTTTGCCAGAGACAAAAGGTTGCCCCTCAACTTTTCATACACATAGAAAGAGAGAGAGAAAGAGAGAGAGAGAGAGAGAGAGCGCTAAGCTCAACGCCCGACGCCAACTTAATTAGTTTGTTAAAGTCGCGACTAACACACACAAACTTTTACACTCACACATGCATGCATGTATTTATACTCGCAATCATATTCCCACAACATAGCAGACGAGTGTTGAGCACTTTTTATGTAAATCGTTTGACTACTTATTATGCCTGTTCCATGAGGTTCTTTGCCGACAGCCCTGTTAACAGCCGCCGCGTAACAGTCTGTTAACAGAAAGCCGTTGCCTGTGCTTACAGCTCACTGTTAGCAGTTGCCGCTCTCACGATCCACGCCGCTCTCAGGTTCCAAGCGGTTCTACAGCGACCTGCGCTTATGGGCCATGAATTAATTACATCGCAAATGAATCTTTCACGTATGCACCGTCTCACATTTTATCCCATTAATACTGCCATTCACTACCTTTTTTATTTTGGGTGCCAAGTGGCCTTCTCCCTTTTTTTCTCGCTTTGTTGCCACTGCAGGATGTGTCGTTAGTCGAGAGAGACATTGAAAGGAAATGCAATTCCGAAGAAAGAAAGCGAAAAAAAACACCAAAATCCAAAGACCGAAACGAACTGAAACCAAACCGAAACCAAAAGCAAGTCGGAACCAAAGTACAAGTACAATTTCCCAAAGAAAAAGACAGAGAGGAGGGACAGAAGGAAAGCCAAACGATTGAAACTCTGAGTGCGAGCAGTAGAAGAACAGGCAGAGGGGAGGGAGAAGGCAGAACGCAGAGCAAAAACTGTCACAAGGCCATTAACAAAAGCCGGAGACTGACTGCCACGGAGGATGGATTCGTATGCAAGCTGGATGCGGGACAGAGCAGAGCCAGTGGCAATAGCTGCAGTAGCAGCATCGTCACAAGATGATGGTTTTGCATTGGGGTGGAGACTGCAGACTGCAGACTGCATCGTGGAGGAGCGTGTGGGGGTAAAAAAAAACCCAATTAAAATTGCGAGGCGAAATGAAATGGGCGCAGCCACCCGCTGCTTCGACCCGTTTACGGCCAACTGCAGCCCGCATGGCGCAGCAGCCCGACTGCAATTCTGCTGTCTGACCAACACACGAAACGTTTTCCACCGACAAGAATTCAGCATTTGCATTGCTATTCAGTTAAACGTGGAAAACGTTGGTTTCACTCGGTGAAAAATAGAATCTCTTAAGGCATGGAACATTCATTTAGGCTGCCAAAATATATTCAAACAAAATATTCCGCTTCATAATTGAGCGTTAACTGAAGAGAGAGCAAATTATTGTATCAAAACATAAATTCTAGATTCTAGATTTCAATTTCCTGAAACCCTTTAATATATTTTCGATTTTTTTTCAACAAAAATGTCTGTGAGAATGTCCTAAGGCAGTGGGAGCACGAAAATGTCCCGTCGGTGGAAAGCGTATGGTGTGCCCGGATTACCTTTAATGTTTTTGAAAGGCCAGGTGAAATGGATGGCTGGGCTGGCTGGCCTGTTGGTAGAGACAGGTGAAGCGGAGGAGAGTCTGCCACTGCCACTGCCTCTGCCTCTGCCTGTGCCTCTGTGCATGTTGCATAATTTGACAGAGTGATGGCTGCAGATGAGGGCGTGGCAGGGGAGCTGCATATGTGTGTGTGTCTGTGTGTACTGCATCCGCGCTGATTTTCATTTCATTGCGTCGCCTGCGTCGTCGTCGTCGTCGTCGTCGTGCATTTGATTAACCGTCGAAGCAGCTGTCGCCGTCATCTCGCCAAATTGAGCATATAGCGAAGGCTCTTGGCAGCATTCAATGTGCAACGTTGCGATGGGTTGGGATTGGGGCTTCGATGACGAACAATTAACTACACTAACCAATTCAGGGGATGTCAGGGTCAAAGGGAATTCAAATTGAAAATGGAGCCCAGTCTTACTCGGCACTTGCATTGCCTTTGAAAATGAATTGAATAAGTAAGAGTATTTTCAATCCTATCTCGTTGGACTGCTCGTCATGCTCTTTTCGCATTTTTAATTAGCGCAAACACACACACGGGGCATGCCACAATTTCAGGCTCTCTCTCTCTCTGTGTGTCTCTCCCCCGTTGCGGTTGCCCTGAGCGAGGGAAGACTGTTTGGCAGGCACCCTGGCAACCCAGAGCCCTTGTTTGAAATGGAAAAACAATTGGAAAAGTGAACAAAGTCTGGCTGGGAGTTTCCCATCAACTTCCAGTTTAGTCCAGAAATTCTCACAGGCAAGATTTGTGTGGAGCATCCCTCTTGAAATGAAGGCCCATGGCAAGTACGGCGTAACGGCGACAGCGGCCAATGTGTCCCTCTGCGAGGATGTGCGCAATTTCAGCACACGGCGACGCAACATACTCTATCTGATGCATCGCTATTTGATGGAGAACGGCTACTACAGCAGCGCGGAGGCACTCAAGGCGGAGGGCCGGCTGTCGGAGGAGTTCGAGCTGTGCGACAACATCGATCTGGATGCCATGTACCTGGAGTATGCGAGCTTCTACAACATGAAATTCGGCAAATATCCGCGCATACTCAAGAAGCTGGCACCCAAGCTGAAGGTGGAGCTGTCCTCCAAGGGTCAGGCAGGATCCGTTGGCAAGGGGCAGGCGCAGGCGCAGGCGCAGCCACAACAATCGATGCCGGGCCAGGAGGCATCGTTGGGCAATTGGCATGCCGGCGTGGGTGCTGCCACAGCTGCGGCCGCTGCCAGTCTGAATAACGATGCAACACCGCAGCAACGGAATGACAATGGCAATCCGCCACAGTTGCACATCAAGAAAATGGCCACAGCCGAGGGCAACAACACGGAGCTGCAGCTGCGCATTGGCGACATCGAGCATGGACATTCGGGCGGGGACGATGCTCTGTTCTCCTCCCTCGACTGGCAGCTGCTGGCCGAGCTGGTGAAGACCTCCATACTGCGGGAGGATATCCTGCTGCGTTGGTCCGATGTGTGCGGCAACCAGCGGGCCATTGAGCTGATCAAGGAGGCTGTCCTCACGCCCATCGAGTATCCGCAGCTGTTCGCCCATGGCCTGAAGCCCTGGCGCTCGCTGCTGCTGCACGGACCACCGGGCAGTGGCAAGACCTACCTGGCCAAGGCCCTGTACGCGGAGACCCAGGGCCAGGTGACCTTCTTCAATATCACGGCCAGCATTATGGTGAGCAAGTGGCGCGGCGAGTCCGAGAAAATTCTGCGCGTACTCTTCCACATGGCCGCACGACGTGCCCCCTCGGTGATCTTCTTCGATGAGATTGAGAGTCTGACCTCGAAGCGAGATCGTGCCACCGATCACGAGTCCTCGAAACGCTTCAAGAACGAGCTGCTGCAGCTGCTCGATGGCATGGAGCACACCCTGAAGGGTGTCTTTGTGCTGGCCAGCACCAATCTGCCCTGGGACATTGACGAGGCCTTTCTGCGTCGCTTCGAGAAGAAGCTGCTCGTCCAGCTGCCCAACCCGACCGAGCGCAGCTCCCTCATCAGCCGCCTGCTCGGCGCCAGCATCAGTCTGAGTGCCCGCCTGCTGGAGCAGCTCGTTCAGCTCTCCGATCAGTTCACCGGCGATGAGATTCGCTTGGCCTGCAAGGAGATCAGCATGCAGCGTGTGCGCTGTGCCACACGTGGCCTACCGCCCCACAACGATGGCACGAAGGAGTCGCAGGCCACGCTGGAGGCGAATGTGGAGCAGGCCTTCCGCCAGGTGCGACCCCTCGGCCAGAAGCTGCTGGCCAAGCACGAGCAATGGCAGCAGGACAATGGCTCCTAGTTGCTCGTTTGCTTTGGTTTATTTTTGTTTTTGTTTTTGCCTAGAAATAAAGTTTCTGCCTTGAAAGTCGTTTCATTACCTGCCGGTGGTGCGTCGGCGAGCACCCGCAATGGTCATCCGTGAGACGTAGCGTCTAATGCGACCGCTCGAGCGTCGCTGCTGCGTGCCGCTCGGTCCTCCTCCTGCTGCACCTCCTCCACCGCTGCCAGTGGCATTCACCGACCTTATGCTGTACTCTGTTGTGGTGGAGCTGCGCCTGTCGCTGGTCATTACATCGGAGCAGAGGGACGAGGACATAATGGAGGCGGCCGAACGCCGCTTGCCACCCGCACCAGCCATTGCACCCGTAAAGGTTCCCCCACCGCTCGATGAGGTGGTGGTGGCCGAGCTGTCCGAGCGAGAGAAGAGCGATGAGCGCTTGCTGCGATTGCAGCTGCCACCAGGTCCTGTGGCATCCTGTATATTGCTGTAGAACTCCTCCGTCTCCCGGTCGTACGTCTCATCCTCGTCATCGTCCAAGCGTGGCCGCTCCTCATCCTCCTCGAACTCCTCGGCCTCAGCCTCTGTGGCCATCGTATCGCTGCGCTGACTGAGACCCGCTCGCCGACCACCGCCATTCGACAGGGAGGACGACTGCTGCTGCTGCTGCTGATGCTGCTGCTGCTGCAGCTGGTAGTACTCGTGATAGTCCCTCGAGCCACGCGATCGACTGCTCGTCCCGGTGCCAGTGGTGCAGCTGAGGTGGCGGTACGGTGCGGAGCTCGAGTTGCTGGTGGTGCTGAGGGAGTGCCGCTTGTTGCCACCAACCGGTATGGGTTCAGCGTGGCTGCCACTTCCATTTCCATTTCCATTTCCAGCTGTTGCTGTTGCTGTGGCTGCCTCCCCAGCCTCGCCATCACTTTCGCCGCCGCCGACGCTGCCGCTGAAGGTGACTTCATGGAATTTCGAGGATTTGCGTCTAGCCCGTGGCACACCCTCGCCACCGCCACCGCCAGTGCCCATTGAGATTGAGGGACGTGGCCGATTGTTGTTGTCCAGTGTATGCTCCGACTCCTGTTGCCCCTGCTGCGGCTCCTCCTGCTGCACTCCTACGGCTGGGCTGAGGGTCAGTGCCAGCTGCGGTCTGTGTCCCCCACGCCGGCGACTCCAGGGGAAGGCGCGTATAAATGCAAAAATGATGAAGAGCGTGGCAATCATGGTGCTGCCTCAGTGAAGCTTCGATGCCTGAGAGTTCTCTTTCATCTTTCGCTTGAGATTATTTATATATTTTTGCACGTTTTATTTACGATCTTTAATTGGTTCAATTTGCTTTTGTTTTGTTTTGTTTTCTTTTCGCTTTGTTTTGTTTCGTTTCGTTTCGTTTGAGCGTTTGCATAATCCGAATCCGCTGCTAGACAGGTGACAGAGACGGAGATGAGAACGGAAACGGAAGCACACACACACACACACGAGGCAGAGTGGCAGTGCAACTGACAGGCCACGTGGCAAGGCAACACATCACTTTGAAGCTAGCTCTAGCTGCGCGCCTGTACTTATTATGTATCCATATCTGCCTCTGACTGACTGCCTGCTAAACGATTGAGATTGTGTTCCACACTGACACTCGTTGGAGTTGAATTTTATGCGCAATTTTGATGAGCGACGCGAGAATATTATGATAATCAATGCACAATTATTGCACCCACAGGATACACAGACACTGCCTCACTCACAAAGGACACAGCAGCAGCATTCTGTCTCTCTGTCCCTGGCTCCCTCCTCGCCTGCACCCAAAACCCATAAGGAGGCATCAGCTTACTGCACGATGATGATGATGATGATGTTGCTACGAGTAGAAGCTACTTTTTAGTTCATCCATAATTGAAATGATTTAACAATGAGATGGCTGCTGGGCTGGCTGTCCGACAAGGAGGTCAGGGATTAAGGTCACTTACGGCAGCAGCAGCAGCAACCAGATACCCAGAGACAATGTCCAGACCAATTTGTGCAATCACTTTGCCAATTACCATTTTCTTTTTCAAGTTTACGATTAACCAAAATGGGCAAAATAGGGGAAAAGCAATATGCAGAGAGCGAGAGGGAGAGGGAGACATGTCCTTAAGTTCAACATAATTTCACTTCAGAGTCTTTGGCCCTAGCCCTGTGCCCACGTTTTGGTTTCAAAGAAAGTTCCCATAAACGAAAGGACACGCCAAATTAATGCCCCTAATCGCTGGCACTTGCATGCCGCATCATGCACATGACATGTGTGTTGTTTTTTGCAATTTACTTGAACCTCATCCAGAATCATCCCATGGACACAAAAGTGAGGAGGCAGAGGGAGAGGCAGGGATGCAATTTAAAAACTAAACTCGATTGCCCTTAATTAAAGTTATCACAAAGCTAGCCTCTGGACGGGACGGCAGGAAGCGTTACAAATTCTCATGGATGATGGCAGGCAGTGAGGCCGCAGCACAGCATCCAGTAGAAGAGGCAGCCACCAAGTGATGTCTCTCACTCGGCTGCCTGCACCTGCCGCACATGCCGTGTGCCACGACGCACTACTTTTTAATTTGTTCAAATTGCATTAAAACGGCCCAGAGAGAGAGAGAGAGAGAGAGTAAACTCTGAGGCAGAGAGTGGGGCAGTGGCACGTGGGGAGGCAACATCTAAAGTGAATTAAGTGCAGCAAAAACGCTTTTCCTCTATACATATATTCCCCCCAGCCCACTATAAATTTGAGGCTGCTTGAAGGACGAATCGGAAATGCTCTGCCAGCCAAAAGCAACTCCTCTTTGGGTGAGGATAAATATTAATGTGATAAATAAATAAATATTAAATTTAAGGCGTGACTTTTGTGAGTATCTCCTTGGACTTTCTATGGAAGTGGTTATAGAATTTGCAGGTACTGCTAGCTGGGGGGGAGTAGTTCAGTTTCAGTTTCAGTTTCGGTTTCGATTTCTGTTTCTGTTTTTGCCACTGTGGCTGTGGCTATGGCCATCGGTCCTTTCTCTGTGGTGTGGAGCTCATCTTGTGGCTTGCTTATCGCGTGGGGCACACACTACCGCCTGCCCCCGCACTGGCTTTGGGCTGTGAGTGTTGGGTGGTGCTTCTCTAAGTGTTGGTAAACAAGCTAGAGACAGGCATCGTTCTCGCTCTCTCACTCTGGGTATAGAGCCCTGGGGCTATGTTCTGCTACTTTCACAGCGACTGCGCCTGGTCCGGCAAACACACACACACACACACACACACACAAATATTTCCTTTCATTTTTTTCTCATTTTTTTGTTGTTCAATTTTTTGTTATATTTTTTGTTGTTGCTTTTCCTTCTTTTCTAGCCAACTAATTCCACATTCTATATAACATATACACACACATGCATGTAGCTGTGTGTGTGTGTGTGTGTGTGGGCAGCATCTCAGGCTGGAGGCATGCCCCAAACCACAGAGCCACCAGTCGCCCAATGTTTTGTTTCGTTGCTCGCTCTCGGGGGCCAAATTTAAGTAGCAACAAATCAGTTCATTGTTTGCGTGTTTACATAATCTTTATACATCGTACAATTCTCTCTCCAAGTGTTGACATTGTGTTTCATTAATAAAAATGCTGCCTCCACCGCCACCCGCCAGCACAAAAAGGCGAAATCGAAACACAAATCCCGTCAGACAACAGGAAAAACTTTCAGACTGCACGTCGCCCCAACAGCCAGCAACAACAACAAAAGCCCCGAAAGCTGTTCCAGCAAAAATAAGAGAAAACGTTGAGAGCTCTGGCAACCCTGGCGACGGGATGGCTTGCGCTGAAAGGGTTACGCCAGTTTAAATACAAACAAAAAACGCCGCTTCAGTCTGCCAAGCCGAAGGCTGGAATACACTGAGCCTCAAGCTCAGCGGTGCACAAGCGAATGCTGCAGAAGAGAATGCACGAGAATCGCAAGAAACAACAACATGCATGACGTGTGCACAACGCGATACGAAACAGGAGCAAACCCCCAAGCAAATGTTGCAGAAAAGAGTATAAGTTTGTGTGCTGTTTGATGGATTAAGTGCGCCAGTTCCATTCTGTTCTATAAAACAAAGAAGGAAATTCCAATATATTTTCCAATGAGGTTTTAAAAATAATCAAAAATCAGGCAAAGAGTTGGATGCAGGGCGACAGCAAGGGAGAGGGAACCCCTTTTAAGATGCACTTAAATATCCACAGCTGAAATGCATCCATATTGAGGCCAGGACTTACTGCCGGGGTTCATGCTGTGTGCGTGTGTGTGTGTGTGCGTGTGTGTGTGTGTGTACAATCCATTAACAACATCAGTGTACCCGCACCTCCCTCGGCGTCTAGGTGCAACCCCAACATCATCATCATCGTCATCATCAGCAGCAGTCCTAATATCCACCGCTACGGCTACGTCATAAATAATGTTCTCTCGTTAGGATCTGCATCCTGCATCCGCCTTCCGTCTCTTCCTTTCCTTTCCCTCTCTCTCTCTCTGCTTAATGCAAAACATCTTTCAAAATATGCGCATAGTTTCGGCCAGAGGATGGGATGGTTTGCTGGGCTGGGAGGGCACAAAGTATTTAAAGCAAAATGCATGGAGCATGAGGCACGAGGCACGAGGGGGCAGGAGCATCATAATGGATAAAATATTTGGCAAACATTTCCACCCCACTCCGCTTTCCGCTTTAAGGCAACATTCAACGCATGAAATGAAACTTCGACTCTACTTTTATCATGTGAATATTTCTAATCGCTTTTCATATTTATCGCTCCCTCTCTCTCTTCACATAAATTGCATTCAATTTACACTAGCTCCCACCTGCTCTCTACTTCCCCTTTCTTTTTCTTTTTCTTTTCCTTTTTTTGAGCTTTAGGGAGTTTGAGTTTACTCAAGCCACAGACTGGCTCCCCTTGGCGTCTGCTTTAGTTCCTGGTCTCAGTCTCTGATGTGTCCGTGTTTGCTGGTCCCAGCTGCAATTTGAGGCTTTTGTATTTTGCCAAGCCAAGAAAGTGCCAGAGGGAGGCAGAA